ACAGACTGTGCTTGAACTCATGGGTCTTGCTCAAGCAGCCCATGTCCGCATCGGGAGTGACCATATTCGTGGAGTGAGTGGGGGTCAGCGTCGTCGAGTGTCTCTCGCTGAGGCGCTGTGCACTCGTGCAAGGTGAGTGAACTTCTGAATCTTCGCGGGAGCGGAAAAGGATTGCTAATCTTACCGTCACCCAGTCTGTTTTGCTTCGATAATCCTACGCGAGGTCTGGACTCATCAACCGCCATTCGCTTTTTGACCACCATGCGCAAATACAGCACACGTAGTCAATGTATGACCGCGATGTCTCTCTACCAAGCCAGCGATTCGGCAGTCGCAATATTCGACAAGGTTTTGGTCTTGAACGACGGTCATGTCGCATACTACGGCCCGGCGACTTCAGCCAAAGCTTACTTCGAGTCCCTTGGCTTCTACTGCTCTCCAAGGATGTCGGTCTCCGACTTTCTCGCATCGATGTCCGGAACCCCGGAAGGTCGGACCCCCCGAGAAGATCTTGACCGGCCGGTGCCAATTCACCCGGTTGACTTTGAGACTCGGTTCAGGGAAAGCAGTTTCTACCGGGAGACCGCGAGCAACGTCGCAACGCCGCCGCAATTAAAACCAGTCAGCAAACCAAAAGCTTCCGGGTACGCTCTACCGCTTTACCGTCAGGTGTATGAGTGTACAGTCCGGCATTATCAGATTTTTCTGACTGATCGGGCCGCCTGGATCGCTGAGGCAGCCGGGACGATTGTTCAAGCTCTGCTTTTAGGCACCCTGTTCCGCAATCAGAGAGCCGTGACGGAGGGGCTCTACACGCGCGCCTCGGCCCTCTTCTTCTGTGTTCTGATTATGGGTTTACAGGCTTCAGCTGAGTTTGGAAATACATTTGTCCAGCGCCCAATCTTGCTCAAGCAGAAGGCCCTGCGGTTCTACCGGCCCGGGGCCTACGCGCTCGGTCAGATCCTCGCGGACGTACCCTGGAAATTTATCTTCATCATGTACTCGCTCCCCATCTACTGGATGATCAATTTCCAACGCACAGCGGGGCATTTCTTCACATGGCTCGTCTGCCTCTATATGGGCCTAATGGCACTGAGCGTCATGTTTCGGGCCATTGCCGTCTTCACCAACTCCATCACTCGAGCCATTCTCCCCGTCGGGCTTTTGCTAAATGTGTTTATTATCTATACGGGCTTTTACATCACACCCCCGGGCATGAAGGTCTGGCTCTTTTGGATCCGGTACCTTGATGTAAGTCTGAAACAAGAAGTCCAGAATGCACGTCTGAGAAAAACGTACTAACCTGCTAATTTTGCAAACCAGCCGATGTACTATATCTTCGAGTCTGTCGCTCTTAATGAAATTGGAACTAGTTCTTATCAGTGTAGCACCAAGGACATCGTTCCCCGGGGAGCGGCATACAATGAGACCAATTATCAGGCTTGTGCAATGTCTGGGTCCGTCCCTGGCGATTTGAGTCTTTCTGGAAGGCTGTATTTGATGGCCGAGTACGGATTCAAACACACGCACTTGTGGCGGAATGTCGGGATCAATGCTGCCTTCTTCGTTTTCTTTTCGATTGTGGTAATGTGCGTTTACTCCCTTCTCCAAAAATGTATAGGTCAACCTAATAGACGCTGACGTTATTCGTACATGCAGGATTGGGATGGAGCGATTCCGTCATGCCGCTGAACACATGTCAACGATCTTTTACCGGAGGCTACCGTCCTGGGTGAGAGCATCGGCCTCGCGCTCCGCAGACATTGAGGAACCACCAATGGTCACAGAGACAAAAGAGTCCAAGCCCAGCTCCAACCACGATGTGACAACGATCAGCCGTCTAGAGACGACCCAGAGTGTGTTTGCATGGCAAGAACTCTCTCTTCAGCTTGACGATGACAAGCGCTTGCTTCACGAAGTCTCAGGTAAGGCCTTGCTGGGTAGTATTCAGAGGGAGAATGCGTCTCACCATCTTCTTTTTTCATAGGGTGGCTTCAGCCTGGGAAAATGACTGCGTTAATGGGCATGTCTGGTGCGGGCAAGGTAAGTCATGTGGAAGATCTTGAGCAGGCTGTTGTGTGCACATAGAGCCCCCCCAGGCTGACTGAGCCGGTGCTTGTATAGACTACACTCCTCGATACCCTTGCTCAGCGAATCCAGATTGGGCGCTTATCCGGAGGGCTCTATCTAAACGGGCAGACTCTTCCGGCATCGATGGGACGGCGCACGGGATTTGTCCACCAGAATGACATCCACCTGGCATCATCCACGGTTCGAGAAGCTCTCCAGCTGAGCGCATGCCTCCGTCGTCCGGCAACGGTTTCCTGGGACGAGAAGATGGGTCACGTGGAAATGCTGATTCAACTCTTGGAGATGGATGATATCGCCGAGGCCATCATCGGAGTGCCAGGGGCGGGATTGAATCTTGAACAGCGCAAGCGTGTCAGTATCGGAGTCGAACTAGCTGCGAAGCCGGACATTGTTTTGTTTCTCGACGAGCCCACATCCGGCTTGGATGGTAACTCTGCGCTCTCCATCGTGCAACTCATGCGCAGGCTCTCCGACGCCGGGCAGACCATCCTCTGCACGATTCATCAGCCCTCCGCCCAGATGATTGAACAGTTTGACAATTTGCTTCTGTTGGTGCCCGGCGGGAAGACAGTTTACTTCGGCCCGTTGGGCTCTCGGTGTCAAAAGATCTTGGATTACTTCGCTCGCTATACGCGACGGTGCGCAGAGACCGAAAATCCAGCGGATTACCTTTTGGCAGTTAGCGCCGAGCCTGACAAAGACTGGTTTCAGGTATGGTGTTCTCATCCCAACAGCCTCCTTCCCCCGTTGGTGCTATTGTAACATTTACTTACTCGAATTTGAACTTCTGGACGAAGCAGACTTGGCAGCAGTCGCCCGAGTATGGTTCCACGCAAGAGCAGCTTCAGAAATTACTCCAGGTACAGGAGGTCAAAGAGTCCTCATCGTCAGAATCTGATCGGACATACGCGGCCTCATATCTCGACCAGCTTCGCATCGTCACGCAACGCGCTTTCACGAATTACTGGCGTGACTCGGACTACGTGATAGGCAAAATCCAGCTCAACATCTGGATGGGACTGATGAACGGGCTCACTTTTCTTCAGCTGTCAAACGATCTGACCGACGCCCGCGGACGGATGTTTTCGATCTTCGTCGGTGTGATCACGGGCCCTGTACTCAGTCTCCAGATTGAACCTCGCTTCATCCTCTTGCGCGACCAATTCCTGGCGCGGGAGAATGAGTCGCGCGTGTACCACTGGAGCATCTTCACCATCAGCGCGCTGCTTGTCGAGATCCCGTTCACCCTCCTGGGCGGGCTGATCTACTGGCTTCTCTGGTACTACATGGTTGGGTACCTCACCGTGTCGACTCGCGCCGGGTACGCCTTCCTCATGTACGAGCTGTACTCGCTGTTCGTCGCGAGTCTCGCGCAGCTGACTGCCTCCCTGTTCCCCACCGTTCTCGCCGCACAGGTGGCGACGGGGTTCATCTGGCTGGTTGTCAACACCTTCAACGGTCCCCTGTCGCCCCCGCCTCTGACTCCGCGCGGATGGCGGTGGTTCTACAACATCTCCCCTTTATTCTACTTCATCGAGGGAATTGGGACCAACGCTATGCATGCGCTCCAAATCAACTGCCGCAACTCCGAGCTCACCACTTTCCAGGCGCCCGCAGGGGAGACATGTGCCTCCTACACGGCCGAATTCTTCGGTCTGGCGAATTCCACTGGCTATCTAGTTGATCCCAATGCAACAGGGCTGTGCGAATACTGTGCCTATGCGGATGGAGATGAATATGTTAGTATTTCTTTCTCGGTTCCTGTTCCCTTCTGTGAACAAAGTTAACTGGTTTTCAACTAAATAGGTCCAGCAATATGACATGAGCTATTCACAACGCGGCAACAACGTCGGTATCTTCATTGGATTCATCCTGTTCAACTACACCATGGCGGTGCTGGCGACGTACCTCATCTTTATCTTCAAATGGCGAAAACGCCGGTCGAATTGATTGAGGGAGGATTCCTTCGAGACGTGTAATTTCGAATGCGATAGCAACTAGATACTGGGCAATTTTTGAAGCTGGTGTTTTTTTTATTTTTTGTCGGTCCTGGCAATCACTGTAGGTTAAAAGTTAGTTCTAAATTTCAAATTCAACCCAAAAAGTGCAGACCTGTATAGACTAGGTTCAATGAGCCGGATTTGACGATACCCCTTGTCCCTTTCTGTAAAAATAGCAAGCAACTGCGCGACCGCAAAGTACAATTTTTTAAGGAGGTGAGCCGAGAGAGAATTGTAACCTATTTTTGTTATTTTCTGTCTTCTGAGGTGAGAATGGGGGCAGCGCCCAATCAATCACCCCTATGATTCCCATCCCCTCCGTCACGAGCTTTCGCACTGACCACCTCAGCTGGACTGTGATAGAAATAGCCATCACAGTTATAAGACCAATGACGCTAGCAAAGTTGTAGGCGAGAATTCAGGCAGAACGTCAGTCAGTAAATAAAGGGACAGGAACGGGAACATTGCTGCTCTACATGTTCAGGTGACAAAGCCTTCCCTCATTCATAAAATGTTCCTGGAGAAGCGTAACAAATGTTTTACAAACAAGCAATGGGCCGCAGAGTAAAACATATCCGACACAGCCTGACGATCAGGCGTCCCATCAGGCTAAGCAATACAAGCTTTTCGTTCACATACGCTAGCTCGCAAAAATATTACCAATATTGGTAAAGGCGGCCTTCTATTTGAGCTGAAATGTTCTCAAAAATGCCTTATCACAAATACCCATGTGATATCGACACAGCTGTCGATCTGCACTGAATATGGACAACTTGGGATGCCTAAAATATTGTAATTTCTAATCAAGGAGTCTTCTCGGGTTGATAAATAGTCGCGAAAATATCGAATGAATGAAAGTTTCGCATTCAATTCTTCTCCACAACCCTTCCCAGACGGACCTTTCTCACTATGGCCAAATTGAGTAGCGTCACAGCACGCGCCCTCAGTTCCCTAGTTGTGCTGTTTACGAGTTCCACCCTTGCCGCTTACAATTCGCTCTGGTCACCGTCGCAAAGCGGTGAAGTAGTTGGATACTCACGAGTAATTCAGCTCCAGCATGCAGGCGACGCAAATGGCAAGCTCCTTGCTACTTTTGAACACTCGCACGCTGACAACTCACCGAGTCATTATATCATTCGGGAGAGCACCGATAATGGCACAACATGGGATACATTGACAACTGTGGTCGCCTCTGGTGACGCTCCAACGGTACATTACTACCAGCCTTTCCTGTTCGAGTTCCCCCAGCAGCTTGGGAAGTATGCCGCAAGTACCATCCTCTTGGTAGGAAATTTGGTGAACGCGAGTGTCAGCGACTTCTATTCCTGGCGATCCACGGACCATGGCAAAACATGGGATCAGATTGGCGTCTGGCAGCGGGGTTGGCCTGACAAGAACATCAATAAAACTCACGGTATTTGGGAACCATTCTTGTTCTTGGATAGCCAGAGCAATCTCGTGGCTGTCTTTTCAGATGAACACGAGAACAAAGTACATTCTCAAAAGCTAGTCCGAGTTATCTCGAAAGACGGTGGTGACAACTGGGACAATGCCACAGATATTGTGGTTGGCTCTGAGCAGACTTTCCGACCTGGAATGGCGACCGTCGCCAAGATGGGTAATGGAGACTATTTTATGAGTTATGAGTGGTGTGATTCCAGAAACTATCCAACTACTTGCCCGGTTCATGGGAAGACATCCAAAGATGGGATTACATGGGATGCAAGTGACGAGGGAGTGCTTGTTTCTTCCCCTGATGGTGTTGGAGCGTACGACAGCCCATATAGTATCTGGGATCCCATAGGGAAGCAGTTGATTGTATCTAGCTTCTCAAAACGGCGTCCATCCAATGCTCCCTACTTCAAAAAGCCCCCTCACCTCCTAGAAGACCGGCATACCGTCCACATCAACCTGCAATACGGCACTGGTGACTGGCATTGGGCATCAGCACCTTGGTATGCTCCAAGTTCAAAGAATTGCACCTCTAATTACAGTCCCAACATGTTACAACTGCCAAATGGAACGATTTTGTATTCAGCAAGGGCACCGGCCAACATCCAAGGCGAACCATGTGAAGAGAGTACTGGCGCAGCAGCTATCGGAATCCTACCATACAGATCTGACTTTCCAGTCACTGGCGATGCTGGGTGGATTGACTTCGACCAGATATGGTCCGTTGCAGGTGACCAGTACAAGCTTCCGCAACCAGGCAGTGAACAAGGCACGATAGTTCTCACAGGTTCGTCGGGATGGACAAACTATGAGATCAGTGCAGATGCCATCGTGACGAGTTCACCTGGTGTAGTGGGTCTCGTGGCGCGAGCAACTCATCTTGACAATGCTCCCAAAGGCATCACACGATATACAGCTGCAATCGATAGCAACCATGGCAGTTTTACCTTGTACAAAGTAGGTGATAAAGGAGCAACTACCTTGAGCTCAAAGCCTGTTCCTGGTGGCATCCAGGCCAATCAAAAATATCATCTATCCCTCTCAGTTAAGTCTGCCACCATTTCTGCCACCGTGACCGGAAGTGGAGGGGCGAAGACGAACTTGTCAGTCACTGACGATAGCTTGGGACGGGGTATGGCGGGATTGTTTGGCAGCTATGGCAGTGGCGGTTTCAGCAATATTCAAATTCAAAGTGCCGCTTGAACTATGAAGTATTCATGGCTAGCCTAATTCACGCATTGGAATATTACCTTCCCCACCACCGCCTTCTACGACGTTGGCTTTTATTCATTCAATTAACCTTAAAGTAGACTGGCGTCTGGCTAAATTAGGTTAGGTTAACGGAATTTCTATACCTAACTACAATTAGAGTTGTCAACCAAGGGACCCAGAACTCTAGATAAAAGTCTCAGCCTACTTCATCGCGGAATCACGGAATCATGGATACCTATATCTTCGAGAACCCTCTTGCAGGTGATGGTTCCTCCTCTACATCAAACTCAGTCGTGCAAAGCAAAAACGTATCTTTCAGAGCCTACACAAACAAATCAGAATTTCACTTCAGTAGCAAGGCAAAAGAAAAAGAAACACGGAGGAGTTATGATTTTGGGGGAGGGACTTACTCCCAATCGAAACTTCTCATTGATTCTTTGATAGTCCTCTCCGGCAAGCATATCACAAAAATGGCGGATAGAAGGATAGTGCACGATGGAAATTTCATCCCAGCCCTCCTCTCCTTTCCTCTTGACATCGGTCTCTCCCTCGGCATCAGGTCGAATCACCGTCCCTACCAACTTTGCATTGCCGCCCCGTCTACCAGCAACGGGCCCAAACGCCTGCCCGTACTTATAATAGCCATCCTTTCCGCCAGGAGAGTTGAAATGCAATAAATTGAGCATGGTTACGGCACCCGGATGCTCGGCTGAGAATGTATGCATAAAGGAGAGGAGCTCTGGTGTGACCTCGAGGCTTTGACAGCTAAATCTATATAGCAGTAAACTGACAGAATTTCTTTATACTGAGCTAAAGGTCTTTGTAACTCAGGGTCTACTTATTATTATTTCAGTAGATATAGCTGAGACTGGTAATAGTATTCTAAATCTTTTTACTATATATCTATAGCTGGGTAATCTATCCAAACAGTATCTATATACTATATAATAAGAAGTACTTATATATCTTGTCTAAGATATCTACTGAATAACTAATCTTACTATAATCTACTATCTCAACTATCTACTCTGCTATCAGTGTCTAGGCGATCTTAACTAGTATAGAGAGATAGATAGTATAATAGTTTAGATTCTAGAAATTAGAGTAATTAGTATTAATTCTAAAAATAGTTAAAAACTCTATAACTATATTTTTAAATAGATTCTCTTTAAGAGAATAATTAAGTAGAGTAATCAAGAGTACTAGATAGGTTTTATCTAGCTAATTCTCTATAGTCTTGATTAGATACTGTATCTTGGACTGACTATCGGCTGGTTAATTAAGTAGCCGGGTACTGTACTTCTCTATCTAATCCAGGGCTGCCAGCTGTACTGTGGTCAGCTGATAGTGGAGGATAATCGGCTAATCGGGGTGGCTGCTGCAGTAGGCAAAGAAGATCAGCCACTGCTATATCTACCGATACTACCGGTATATAGATAGACAGAGATAGATCTGAATCGGCCGATTCTACACCCCGGTACATAGAAGAAGATATTGATTTAAATTTTTATTAAATTTATTAATCCGGTAGCTGGTAATAGTCTAATAAATCCAGTAAATAAGCCGCTTAATACTTTAAATAAAGATCGTTAATAATAGTTCTTTTTTACTATCTGGGATTAATTCTAGTAGAGTTACTATAGTAAGATTCTATCTCTACAGATACTCCAGTTAACAGATTAATTGTATCTACAGAGAGATTTTGCTGGAATATTTTTCGATTGGGATAGACTATTACTAAATAGTTTAAATTTTCTTATTTTACTTGTATATCTAATTAATCTAACTCTGAATAAACTTTGTCTTGTTTATTTAAGTAGTCTTCTAAACTTGCTCAGTTTGACTCGCGGGGATAATAGTAAAAGATTAGCTAGCTACTCCAGTAATATAGAACTACTGGTAGCTAATGTACTCTATAGCTGCAGTGATATTGGATTTTTAATAGTAATCTCGACCTAGAGTTGCACGCGGGTCGGGTTTTTGATAGGTCTCCCCGCACCCGACCCAAAACCTGCTAGGTTTAGGCCTCCCCGACCCGCGGGTTCCCCGCCAAGCCTAGGCTAAACCTAATTAGGTAAGGTGCTGCTTATTAACCATAGACCTTACCTAAATATATCTTATAGTAGAAATCCTCTGAATACTTCATAGTAAAAAAAAAAAGAAATAGAGAGAGTATAAGTATAATTCAATCTAACCGAGTTTAATATAATGCGTGGACACGTTGAGAATCCTGATCTTGTCGCGCAGGAGATAATATATAGAATAATAAGTTAATAGATCATTTTCTCTCTACCAAGCCAATATCGACGATCGACATGGTACCGGGGAGGAGAGATTGTACAGGTCATGCACAGCCGACCGGCGGGAGCACGCACGGGTTGGTGGGGGTGGGGGTGAAGAAGATGGCGGTGGCGCGGGACGGGACAGGCCAATGGGCGGCCGAGTAAATCGAGCGAGGCCTGGCTGGACCACGCACTAGGGTATAGGGTCTGCTCATCGTCACTCCAGTAGATATAGCCCATACTCGTTGTGCTATTCTGGATCTTCTTGCCGTACGTCCGTAGGCGGGTAATCCAGCCAAAGGGGGCGCGTACCCCAAATAGTAAGAACCGCTCGCGCATCTCATCCAGAGCCTCTGCCGGATAGGCTACCTGACCGATCTCGACGAGATGGACCGCCTGCAGAGCGACCAGTATCTGGGCCATTTTGACTAGTCCGGAGAGATAGCTAGTATAGCCATAGGGCCCGCGAAAGGTCTGCTGTGTTATATCGATCCCGAGAACCGCGAGAAAACCGACTACGGTACTCTCGAAGAGATCCCCCTTCAGTGTATGGTCGAGTAGAGCAATCGAGAAGGCCAGAGAGGCCTTTTCTAGTTGCTTTTGTATCTGTCTCTGCTGATTTGTATACTCCGCCGGCTTGATCTCCTGAATAGATAGCCTAAGAAGCTGCTGGCTATAGATCTCCATCCGATCGAGCGCGGCAAAACTGGGCGGTAGTCAGCTGGTGGCGGAGCGGGATAGGCTGATCGGTCCGGCTACTGCGGTAGGCGAAGCAGACTAGGCGCTGCCAGACCCGACAGTATTCGCGATAGGTCCTTGGCCGGAGATGGATCTGGATTGGTCGGTTCCAAATACTCGGTCGGCGGAAGAAGGTATTGATCTGGATCTGGTCGAATTCATTAATCCGGCCGTCCTTGATTACACGGTAGGCCTGATCTATTAGACACTGTACACTAGCGGTGAATTGCTCTAGTAGAGATTCCGCTCTAGAATCAGGGAAGCTACCGAGTAGGGCGACTGCTGTCAGATCCTGACTACACAGGTATTCCGGCCACCGGGTCAGCTCCAGCCAGGGGGAGACCGCGGTCGGGTGCGGGTCTATGATCGGGATCTGACCATCGGTCTGCTCTGCGGTAGCTTGGCTTTCCTGAAGAGCCTGCTCGACCCGGGCCCGGATAATAGCTGCTGGGGTCTTCAGAGAGGCTGTCTTCTTGAGTCTCTAATCGGTAGAAGGATCGGCAGTAGTTACTTCAAAAAACCGACTAGCGGCTCGATTGATAAAGAAGCGCTGGCAGCTTACTATACGCTCTGCTAGTCGGGTTTGAAGCCTAGCTTGAGTCTGAGCTGCTGTTTCCCGGCCTCGTTTTTGTCGTCCCCTATCACGATCGATATAGTTTTCATCTCAATGTTTTTTCATTGTCTGCGGGGACCGACAGATATACTCACAGTATAGGCAGCCGTAGCCGCGGAAAACAGACAGACCTACAATAGGAGGGCTACTTGGAGACGGGAGACAGATAATTTCTATCTCAGGATTGATCCAGGGTCGCTGAAGTATAGCGGTTAACGCTGCCTGCTGGAGTGCCGGGGTGGCTGCGCTGGGATGGGAGCGATAGCGTGTCCGCAGATGGCTGACTAAAGTAGTAGGCGAGATGGCGTACTGGCACCGAGGCGCGGTGCAGATCCAGATCTGATAGGTTGGGTTATATAGAAAGAGATCCATGGCTGATCTTATAGAATTGAATAGTCGATAGCAAGCAATAGACTATACAGATTTTAGTATAGTATAGAAAGAAAAAAGAGATAGAGAGAAATTAATATCTATTCTAACTAATTAACTAGATTAGATATAATAGTCATGTATATAACGCGAAGAATTTATCAGGATCACACGCGTCTATATGGCTCTCCGGAATGTATATAACAATATCGCTACAGCGCTCTACAAGTAACTGGGAGAGAGGGGGGCTTCGGGGCACGTACACGGGGCGGCGGGAGTACGTACCGGGGGGGGGGAGACATCAAAAAGCCGGACGGACAGACGAACGAATCAGCGGGCGAGAAAATGGGAATCTAGGTAGGGTGGATCTACCACTAGGGACTAGTGGGCCTTAACTCACCTGGATTGCACACAAAAGCTATAAATTAGCAATTTCTGAAGAAGAAACGCTTGTACAGTGGATCTTCACTGCGAAATTTTTGTTTTCAGCTGATTTATGGTGGAAGCCGAAGTATGAGCACACGGGGAAGCGGGGAGGAAATCAACCAATTATAGCTGGTTTATTATTTCTAGTGATTTAACAATAGAGCATGACGGATAGGATCTGGTTTTTATTGGTTTAATGGTATACTTCAATTCAGATGTAAGATTTTGTACATATTCATATTTCCAGCTATGATGCATAGAGCAATAAACAAATCCTCTAAGGAGCGAATCTAGTGGCAGCAGCGGTAGCATTGGTTGTTGTTGAACTATCAACATGGTTAGTATTCACTAGAAAAAGATGAGCCGTCAGTACGTACACCTTTCAGATGCTAAACAAAACGTTAGTGACAAATAATACAATCAAAAACTATAAGGGACAACTCACTAGTCCACTAGGACATTTATGGTCTTTAGAGAAGCACACATGTCCGCAATTACTCTTGCCCGCCTCTGCAGGAGCGGCGCTGACTGCAACAGCCAGAAGAGCGGTAATAGCAAAAGAGATAGAGAAAAACTGCATCTTGAAGGTACTAGGTTGAAAACTAAGGGTTGGCAGGCCGATTTGCGAAATTGGTAGAGAATACAATGCAAAAATCGGAGCGGCATTTTGAGGCTTTTGTAAAGACCCCAGAAATAAAAAGGAATATCCAGATTCTGCAAGGTTGCATCGTATCTATTTTCGTATCTGACTGTACCTACATATACGAGGTGCAGCTCGTAAGTCCATTGGCTGCCTGTTTGTTTGGGCATTGGGTGGTACACTGGGTGGGTGTAAGTCTAGACTCCAACCCCATTGCTTAGCTAAGCAGTTAGGATTCGGTCAATTGATCCGCCCAACAACAAAAAGTGCCCGAACTCTATACCCTAGTACATGGGACATGTACGTACGTCTCGCATCCGGCGCCACGGATTGGCCCGTTTTCGGTGTTCCCACGTGCCCCCGGCGCCGAAAGTCCGTGGCAATGCATCCGCGCCCGCGTTGCCTGTCTCTTTCCCTTCCCTTTTCTTTTATGATCAGTCAGCTATTCTACATCCGCTTTGGCTCCTTGCTGCGGGAAAACCGCTGCGCCTATCGAAGAATGTGTACATAGTCAACCGATGTATATTTATTAGCAGATACTCCAATCCTATACAATATAAATACTGTATGGAGTCTTACACAAAGACACCCCGCAACTAGAAATAGGCAATGTTGCTTCCCGTATTCTTATTGGTCTTGGTTTACTTTTAAGATATATGTATTATACAAGTAGTTAGGGACGCGTCTTGCGCGGCCTACACCCAGTTAATTACAGATAACTAAATTCCTGACGGTTAGGTAGAAAGTCTGCTTGCCAGTTGTTACTATAACTTTAACAAAAAAAGGAAATTTGAAATACAGGACCTTCTTCTCTATCTGTATAATATATTAAACAGTCTTCTAGGTATTACTATTAAACGTAAAATAGACAATATACTATATAGTATCTTAAATAATTGTTTCTTATCTGTAGATCTTAGGGCCTGAAGCCTTTAAACGATGTGCTGGTCGCGTTACACTTGGGTATCAGAGGTCATTATTGTCTTGCAGTTAGGAGGACCACTCGGGTAAGGATATACAGTTATTCTTCGGGATAAAGATAGCGGAGAATCTCTTCTTCTTCTTCTTCTTATATTTACTATCAGACGGGGGATTCTCAGCGGGTCGTTTACTCAGTGCAACAGAGAACAGTCTTATAGAGGCTATAGTTGATACGGAAGTAGTAGGAGCAGAGCTCATAGAAACTGAAGACAAAGGTAAAGTATCCAAGTGAATGTTAGTATAGTATTATAGTATAGTATTAAGTATTATACCGATAATAGGAATATCCACTGAGTTACTTGGGAAGAAATAAGGGTAGAAGAATTAAGCTAAATCCAGCGAAACAGCAAGTTCTGTAAATCACCCCCCCCCCCAATAATATAGAGACATCGGTAGCCGTTCGGAGTAGAGAATACTGCAGCTGTGGTACCAGCATCGTAGAACAATAGAAGATAGGAAATATTTAAAAGACTTCTATAGATAATATAACAATTCTCCTAGAAATAAAAGTTGATAAAATAATAGGATATCTGGATAAACTATCTAGTAGTAGAGAGATAAGTCCGGGCTCAGTACAGAGTTCCAGGAATTGTACAGATAATATAGAATATATTATATACCAATATTCTATTCTCCTGGTCTGTATAGGACACTACCTTTAGAACAAATAAACACTGCCCGGCAGAGTCAGTATGATAGCCTACTATATTACCCACTATTGACAGGTGCGGGTTGTAAGCAGAGGACAGAGAATTGAGATAGTTGTTACTCTCAGTATTTCCCGGGAATTTAGTAATAATTAGTATAGAATATAGAGTAATCAATATAGTATTTACAGAACTATAATATCTATACAGATTTATAAAGTAGAAAAGTCAGCAGGAGTCTTCTAAGTACTAAATTTGTCACAGATCCGATGATGACTCTGCATGATGACTGTATCGTATACCCTGCCCGTTGTGCATATACAGCTCGGAGGCCGAACGGCGACGACAGATCACATATCCGTCGACTTTTCAATAGCGTATAGTAGCTCCTTGTCAGTCTTATCCTGTTAGGAGAATAAGGGGCTTCTTCTGGATATAAAGTTAGCCTAGTGTTAATGGAAGAAGAAGGCAAGAATCAGTC